AGCCGGGCGACATCTGCGTCCTGCCCAAGGAGGAGCGCAGCTGCTTGGACGGAGCCGTGTAGTGTACCATCCGGTCTTGCTACGTATTGTTGACATTATCATAATCATTATCATTCTTATCATTACCATTATTGATAAAAGTGAGGAGGATGAGGATTACACCAATAACAACAGTATTAATAAAAGATGATAAAGGTCATGCTAATACTAGTAATGATGAGAATCAACAGTGGCATCTAACTGATGATACGAAATGAAAAGATCATGCCAGAGGATAAAGCAAAAAATAGATAGAATAGATATATATATGCCATTAGTAACACTTAGTGCCAGTGCCACCACTTGCAGTCAAAGTATGTGAAAAGGGATCAAAGAAAATGGAAATTGCAAGGGGCTTTGCAACACCTCCCTCCGTCACACCATTGCCAAGTTTGAATCGATCAGAGATCATTCCAGCGAAGTCTTGCCGTGCAAAGAGGGCGCCTTTAGGAAAATGTCTCCCACTTGTATTCAAATTTTGTAAACTTACAACTCTAACCTCCGTTACAGGGAGAATCTCATCCCAGCTAATGCTCTTAAAAAAAAAAAAAAAAAATGGAAGGGCAGAGGCTGAGCAGCTGCTTCGTCCGACCCCGTCAGAGTCTCGGCGGCATCAAACAAGGGCACGTTTGCGCGAGAAAAAAAAAGAAAATAATTATGCGCAAACTGAAAATGGAGTGTCGTGGTTTTGCCTTTAATTAGGGAGATAAAAAAAATCGATTAATTTACTTCTGATGCCATTGTTATGACGCGGCAGTTGGAGGAGTCGGGCGGAGATTTCAACGCGTCTTGAGGAAAGTCCCAAAGACTGATCCGCTGGTGGGCAGATTGGCATCGTTCATTTTGATATCATATCACACGTCATAGCAAATATAAGCAAAGACCCAAAACAAGATTCATCTGGCTGATTTAAAGAGAAAAAAGAGAGATAGAAGGCGTTTGGGGAAAAATACAATATCAGGCATAATATTTGGATACATGCAGAAAATATAAAATTAATTAGAAATTAAAAGAAAAATAAGGATTATGATAAGGATATCTCTCTCTCAGAAATAAAGATAAAGAAAGTGATACCATGCATTACAGTAACAAAGATACAGAGAGTA